AATATTTATTTCGAAGATATGTGAAGTCCGCCAATCCGCAGTGGGGCCGCGTGGTGGACTATGCCCTGATACCCTCTGTATAGAGGAGGCCTTTGCCCAGCAGTGGGACATGTATACGCTGTTACTTTACTTAACTTTTATATTTTACCCATAATAAATGAAAATATTTCCACGACGTTTTTTATAGATAAAAACGATGGTCCGGAGAATAAAAACCAATATTTCGATACTCGTTATATTCCTCTTTGCTTCCGATTCCGAACAAACAAAACAGAAATCAGGAAAAATTGAAAGATGAACCGAGGAGAACCTAATGAAATACTTAGTTGTAGTAAACTAAATGTCTGTAGCTAGAATTGAGTTCTTAGTTCTAACGCAGATTTATGTGCTTGCTTGTCCATTTCTCTTTGTAAATTGACCGTTCGTATCGGTAGTGAATAATTACAACGTCTTGCGAAATGCTTCCCTACATTTAAAAAGATAAAAAGGAACTCGCCATGCCTATATGGCCTATATGGCTCGTGTTTAATAGCTGACATTTATTAGGTTTATATTTTTATTAGGTACTGGCCATCTTGAAGAAAAAATATTTTTATAAAGCAGTTGTGATGTGATGGTTCTAAATGAAAACTTATTCTTTAGGTAATCAGTACTCAATTGTACGTTTCGTGTAAAATGTTCGGGTTGTGTGTTAATTTATATGAGCATTTACCGAAACATCACCAAAGAAACTTTATAGACTATAATATATATAGATGTAATCAATCAATAATAAAATGAGATGCTTATGAGGGTATTTGCTTATGGGTTAGTAGAAGTAACTGTTCCCTCAAATTGACGTAACATTTATGTATGATTTTTTTTAGATCTCATTTATCGCCTTTTTTACCACACATTAAAAGCAACACTGGTCTAGAGTCTGTTTCTCAATCGTAGATTCATTTGACTCGCTTTTGTTATGTGTTGGACGCCACCTACGTTAAATTTTATAATTAAAAAATTACGCTCAGTCTTACTCTGTCTAATCCTATTAGGGTTAAGGGCATAGGTAACTGCTCACGATAATAGTCGAGACTTGTTATAGAATCGTCTAGGCAAATAGCAGATGTTGATAGACTTATGGGGCAAAACGTTATTTTGTTTCGTAATGATTTGAGTGCGCGCGCACCGAGAATGCACCGAGATTAACCCTACATTCCCTGCTCGCTTATCGTGTGGCCCAAGTTACGGGCGGTCGGAGTTAATTTTGCAGTATTCTTAGTTATTCTACAATACGGAAATACTTTATAATCGTTATAAATTATGGTCCAATCAATTTTTCAATCTGTTTTTTACTGTGCACTGTCGGACACAAAATTTTAAAAGTAATAGATACAGCATATGCGTTGGAACTTGGTAATCATTCGATTTTTCATTCATTTTTCAATCCAATGATATCTATTTTTATAAAACATCCATCTTTTGAATTTAAAACGAAACAATTTATAAAGAATTAATGTTTAAATTTTTCGAATTTAAAAATTTATGATTTTCAAAATACCGTTCGGACCCATGTATGACCTATGACCTTATACTTAAAATACGGAACAATAATATTAACACATTTATTAACATATGTCTCTGTTGGACAGTGTTTCTAATTGTTTCAAAAGGTGTGTTTTGAGGAAATTAAGAAAGTTATTTGCGACTTTATACTTCAAATCTGCCAATTTTCATGTTTTTTTCCAGTTTCCTTATTGATTATATCCCGTGTAATATTAATTTTATTCTTACTTAAGTATTCTGCGTTAGTTAAAGTACAGACCTTTTAACAAGGTTTTTGAATATTCCTAACATATGAATGAAAATTAGGATAGCATGTTAATTACCATATAGATAACATAGAGTATATATATCTCCTTCTAATTCCCTTAGTTTTCCAATCTCTAAAGCAAAGTTCATTAAAACTCATGGTTTTTACTGTTTCGTGATTCGTATTAGTTAATTTTAACAAATATAGCGCTCAAGACTTTACATTATGAAATAATCAATTTAATTCTGTTAAAATAGTAATGTTTTAGCTATAAGCCTACGTTCATTCATAATAACGTCATTAATGTTATTAATGCGAAGATTAATAAAGGCCTTAGCCTTTAATACCAGATTTATTTGGCATATACTTTTAACAACAAACGCGTCACATCTGATGAAGCGAATGTAATTATTTTTCCTTTTTTTTTTAATTGATTACGTTAAATGTAGTAATAATAGTTCATATTATTACAAGACTGACATTTACCACGACAAAGGAAAAGTCATCCCTCTCCAGAGCTTTAAAGCTTATGGCGGTAAATTTTGTCTTGAAAAGTTATAAAAAAATGCGTGTCTTCTAAAGATATATACTTTTATCTATCTTCTATCAAAAATTCTCAAAAAGTATGTGACAGTCACTTTGTCTAGTAAAATGGAAGTGACAGTTATTGTAAAAAATATTGTTTTAATCATGTTCATTCATCTTCACGGATGTTCTGGATACGCCTTTCACCCCGTCACCTTCTCTCATGAAAATCTAAGAGAAGAAAAATTATTTAAGTTAAAACGTTCACGCTCATGTCTTGTACCAAAACGCGACATCCTATGACTAACATCCATTGTGAACTGAAAAGAGGCCCGCTGGAAGCGCATCCGCTACGGCACAAGCATACTATTTTATTGGCAACGCGAAATTATTCAGCAGTCACTGACATATTAATATTATAATTACACTAACAGACCGACAGACGTTGTCCTGTACACAAGACTTATATCGGAAAGAAAAATGTGAATCTAAACCATTCCCGAATCGACCTGAAGACACACAAAAATTTCATTTAAATCGGTCTAGCCATTTGGGAGGAGTTCAGGGACACACGTACAGAAGAATTATATATATAAAGATACTGTTTACCCATAGACACCCGGCATGGGCAGATCGTTGATATGCAGCGAGAGAAGAGTTGCGAAAAGGACAAACCCCTGACGAACTCCGGCTCGGATGAACAGCCTTCGAGGACTACCCGGAGAGACCGTTCACTCAGAAAGTCATTTATCTAACCGATTAGGCAAGGAGTTATGCCGCACGCTGGAAGCTTGCTGAGTAGGCCGGCGTGTCAAACTCTGTCAAAGGTCTAGGGGATAAAATATCTAAAGATTTATCACCATTTTTATTTAAAAAAAAACTGTTTTCATAAACCGTTTTAGTAAAATCTTTTCTTCTAATATAAAAACTTTACTTAATAAAAATTAACTAAGCGATAGGCAAATATGAACTAAAAATATTAATAAATGTCCCTCTTGAAGTCTTATATCACATACACGTCAATAATGGTAGAAATTGACAACAATTTTTATCACAAAAATTAAAATCAAAACAAATATTTTAATAACAATTTTATAATAATTAATTCCATTAAAACAATTATGAAACATTTAAGCATGCTTACCTATATGTTCGAAATAAAAAAAAACATTTAATAGTTCCAAATAGTGTTTGAAAAAAAAAATTTATAAAATCTTATTTTTTAATTTAGAGGACTAAACTAAGATCATATGATATACCGGTATTTAACTCCAGATTATTATCTATACATTTATACAGATAAATAAAATTGGAGTGTCTGTTTGTAATATTAAAATAACCGCTTTTTACTGAATGCATATGGATACACGGTACATATACCAAAATAACATTATTTACAATATTTGTCTGTCTGTCTGTTTGTTCCGGCTCACCATCTCTGAAACGGCTGAACCAATATGGATGGGATTTTCACTGGCAGATAGCTGATGAAATAAGGAGTAACTTAGGCTACTTTTATTTTAGTTTTTTTTTATTCAAAATTCCACGTGGAAGTCGCGGGCACAGCTAGTTCATAATAAAATTATGCTACGCAAGTAAGCGTATGACATCGAATATGTTACATTATTGCGTCTTCTAGAGGGCGCTGTTAAAATTAAGATGTATAATTAAGCATTTAATTTAAAAAATGTTTTAATGGATAATAGTAATATATGTTAATTTTTTTTTCAAATACTAGGTATTTAGTTTTTATATTAACAAATTTTGTAATTTTAGTAAGAAAGACAACTAACAAACTTTAAATTAAATTTTATATATGGACATGATACAGATGATGTTAAAGCTTAGAAATTATTTTAAGATACACTTTTTTAATTTGTTGTTTTTTGATCCTTTGTGTAAAAAAAAACAAGTTACTCTAAAACTATCTTCGTACACGCTCTCTATTAAAATTTGTAGATTGGCACTACTGTTAATGTTAGTACTACAATATAAAATAACCTCCATGATTTTCGGAAGAAAAATATTAACGTATCAATAAATCAAATACAATTTTTTTTAAAAAGTTGATTAACATAAATTATGATATCTTATCACATGTGTTTAATAAATGTTAATTAGCCGTTCCTATACAATAATACATATATGAAAAAAAAATATTTCCAACATTTTTAAATCCTAGTTTCAATAAGATATTTCAGCGTAAAATTAAAAAAAAATAGTTTTATTAAAAGTTTAATGATCTTGTAAAAATTCATTTTAGGCTGTTCTAAGCCATATGGTAAAATGTGTATCTAAAATAAAGTGGCAACATTTCAAAAAGAAAGTGAAGTGAAAGAAATGAATTTACGAGAATAGGTCGCAAGTCGCATAGATTTTTGGTTGATTTCCTTTTCACTTTACTTTCGTATTCTCAGTAAGATCTAATAAACTCGCGTTCATTTGTGTTTCTGCTTGTATTTTGAGTCAACGAACTGGACACTTCACTTCCGAAAACAGGATAAGTACGAGAGTACACAGCATCTTATTGATTTTCTTTCCTCGCATATGCTTTCCACCAATACGGAGTGGAGCTAACATTTAGAGCGGTTCTGTGATCTGATTTAAATACCTTTTTACTATTTAAATAAGCAATATCAGTGAATTTTAACCTTATTTGGTGTTAACATTGCATTCAGTTAAAATGATGGCAAATACGCTCGACACCGTAAACGCGAATCAACCTACGCAAAATGGTAGTAAACTGCAGCCTTGCAACAATGAGTCCAAGACTAATCTCATCGTGAACTACTTACCTCAGACCATGACCCAAGAAGAGATTAGATCGTTATTCTCCAGTGTTGGTGAAGTGGAAAGTTGCAAATTGATTCGCGACAAAGTCACCGTATTTCCCGATCACATCCTCAACGGGCAGAGTTTAGGCTACGCGTTTGTCAATTACCATAAAGCGGAAGACGCAGAAAAAGCTGTTAACACATTAAATGGCCTCCGATTACAGAATAAGATAATAAAAGTGTCTTATGCCCGTCCGAGTTCTGACGCAATCAAAGGCGCCAACCTGTACGTTTCGGGTCTGCCTAAACACATGACACAGCAAGACTTGGAGAAGCTGTTCTGCCCGTATGGAACAATCATCAGCTCCCGCATCCTCCATGAGAATGTCTGTGTCGGTCATCTCCTCCAAGGCGGCATGGATGACCAATCAATGCAGGGGCCTTCAAGAGGCGTTGCGTTTATCCGTTACGATCAAAGGTGTGAGGCAGAAGCAGCTATACGGGAATTGAATGGCACTATCCCACCAGGAGGCAATGCTCCCATGACTGTTAAATGTGCAAACAACCCAAGCAACCAGAACAAGGCGCTGGCGCCATTAGCTGCATACCTGGCTCCAACGTCTACACGCAGATTTGTCGGCCCAGCTGGTAAAGCTTTACTAGCAATCAATAAAGGTCTGCAGAGATTTTCGCCCCTGGCAGATCCTATTATACAAGGTAACGCTCTTGGCGGTTCAGGTTGGTGCATTTTCGTCTATAATATTGGGGCTGATACAGAAGAGAGCACTCTTTGGCAGCTCTTCGGCCCATTTGGTGCCGTCCAGTGTGTAAAAATTATAAGAGATCCTACTACTAACAAGTGCAAGGGTTATGGCTTTGTCACTATGACTAATTACGATGAGGCTGTTGTTGCAATTCAATCTCTGAATGGATACTCGCTTAACGGTCAGGTGCTGCAGGTCAGCTTCAAAACGAACAAGAGTAAATCCTAAACTGATACAAATTCTAGTCAATAAATTGTAGCTAATGTGAAAATGTTGATCATTTCTGTCATGATTCCCTGTCACGTAAATTAAATATCAAATAGAAAATGATGTGACACCAATCATGGCATGATACCGAATTGTAAGTGTTCATAGAAGGAAAGTACAAACCATCTAATATTGCAGTTTAAGCATCACAATTCAATAACGTAAGTAAAGACATTAGTTAAATAAAACTCCAATTTGACTCTTGTCTTCTTTGAAATTCGTTGTTCTCTTAAACTATTATTTTGACCATTTGATATTCTAAGCCATTCATAATTTATAAAAACTTGCTCCAAATGTAGGAAATGTGTATTACATATTATACAAAAAAAATACAACTTTTCTATCATTTCTGTATTTGTAAAAAAAATACAGTGCTCCAGGCTATAGACTTTATGGTTCAATTAATTTAAAAATAGGTTGAATAGCTTTTGTGGTTTGTGTATTATTTATTAATTATTCACTTGTCACATTGTTTAATAACAATATAATTAATTTGTGTATGTACCAGATAAAGCTTATTTATATAGTTTGACGAAAAGATTTTCATAAATTATTTTTTAGTTTTAGCATAGAGCTAATAAGCTTATTTATTACATATTCATCCTTGTTTATGTTTGAATGCTATATTTGCATTGGTATTAGGTGAAATTAACAGCTAACAAAACAAAGTGCTTATGTAATAGAAAGTACAGAAAGTTTATTGTTCATAAACAATTTAGGCAAATTTGAAACATGGTAAAATAGGATTCCCAGCAATTTACTTTGTTTTGATGAGGAATGACAGTGCAATATTAAAGATTTTACTCTAAGTAAAAATATATTAAAAAAAGAGTTTATTATATGTATTTGAAATCCTGTGCAATTCACAAATGTATCTATTTTCAAAAGTAAAATCTGCAATACTAATAAAAATATACAATTTATATGAAGTACCATGAAGTATTCACAATATTCACTATTGTGTCTCTACCAAAGATGTCAGACACTATCGACTGATTTAATCATTAGATTAAATATTCATGTAAAAATGAGCGTAAAATTAGCACTTCCACTTAAGTTAACATTAATATTATGTCCATAAAAGCATAGGTGTAGCCACAGTCACAGTGTAGAGAACATGTTCCATCTCTTTTAGTTACCATCCAGTGAAATTGAGAGAAAATAAAACTCAGTATGGATATTTATATTTCCACATAGGTCCAGTGTTTTAATGTATAAAATATAAATAGCCTTAGATGCATAATATTTCAACTCTTACTGTAGGACAGACCATGGCTACACCTATTCAGTGACCCTACTAATTATTAAATTCAAAAATTCCATTACTTAAAAGTTAAGGTAAATCTCCATTAAATGCACAAAATCATTATGTAAGATGAGTAACTAATTTAAAAATCATATAATGTATAAATTCATGTTTTACAAGTTGCTTTTCTTATATAAACCCACTTAAAACATTGACTGGTGTATAAAAACACAAATCCGAAGTTTTGTCTGGAAAAGGTGACATTAAAAAGATTTAAGATCACTTTGACCATGTAATGAATCTAAATTGAAAATTATGATGATGTTGGACCATATCATGACTACAGTATCTTGATCAACATTTTAAATTAAATTTTTGTATTGACTTGAATATTATGTACCATGTTGGTATATTTGTATTAATGTGTATGTCAAGTAAAAAATTTTGCATTAATCTTAGTCTGAAAAGTTTTTCTCATTTAAAATGCAGTTTGCAATTTGCTTACTGTGCATATATTAATAAGAAGATGTTTCATGCCACTATGACATGAGGGCTAAATTTAAATTTCATCTTTTACGGTATGATATTGTCTCTCTAATTCATTTGATTATATAATCGCTATTTATTGTTACACTTAAGTAATGTATAATTAATAATTTATTGTCATAATAGTGAATAGACTCTTATAATAGATTTCATTTGATGTTATTATTAATATATTGAATATTAGTGTAAGTTCGGACATTCATTTGGTAAATTTGTTTACAGTAACACACCTATCTCATGATTTATCTTGATATTTAGTAGTTTCCGTAATTGGATAGATAAATTATTCATAGTTAAATGCATATCACGTCCCAGAGAGTGCATTGTTGAAAACTTGGATTATACACAGTCATGTATAATGCATTTTCTATAAGTAACCTGTTTAATTTCTATAATACTGCTAAGGATAAATGTTTCATTAAGGTTAATAATTATTTATTTAAAGTACTTAACTACACGGAACTAGTCAGTTATAATTTTGCGCAACATAAATCTTTAAGTACCTTATTCTTAAGTATTTAAAAAAAACGTGTTCTCTATTTAAATGTTAGCTTAGGATTTGATTTGAAAATTATGTTGGTGTGGTGTTTCGTTAACTTAAGCATAGTTTACCATTAAAAACACACAGCAACAAGTGTAATGGTGTGTACGAAACTAGTCACAGGTAAAACATACCTCGAAGTAATATAATCGCAAAAGTGTAAGAAATCCTTTGGGGGCCTAAGTCGCAAAGTATGACTGATCCATATCATGAACGGAAACCCATTTAATATGCTTCCTCATAAGACCACAGTCCTACAAAAGCCGCCTTAAATTTATACAGTTCCTTATAGCTAATTTAGACGAATGTTTTTTTTTGTTGTCGCGTTTACAATTATTGTAATACAATGTCGTTTGTAGTACCGCCCAAAGGATTTCGGACATATTAAAGATAGTATGTGTTGTGTCGTCCCTGACTGATTCACATTTCACACTAACCAATGAAAGGAGTATTAAGTCAGAACAGTTGTCAGTATTATCTATCTATATGTAACGCCAAGAAACGGAAGAATTCTACTATGCAACGAAAGGAACAGCTGATTTCGTTTCAATTCCCGCCTTAATACATACAGATAGATGTGTTGACATACCTAGATACACCTGTCCCGTTTACCGTTTTGTTCTCAATTTACTATTTCGTGGTATTTTATTTGTGTTTAGTGTAGTCTCAGTAAATTTAAATACTAATATTTCTCAGATTTTTTTAGTGTTTATTTATCTTAACAAATATTTAACATTTTTTGTTATTTTTTTTATATCATTTCTGGGCAGGTTCGGGTATTGTAAGGTTTGGCCTAGTGTGTAACTAGAAATATAAGACAGAGTACAAATTGCCGATACTGCAATGAAAAAAAAGTTTGGCTTACCTTTTTTATTTGAAATCTCAACGAATGTAATCTGATGTAGGGAATATTGATATAGACATTAAATATCGACATTAGCAATAATATTTAAGCATTCTTTCATTTAACCCTTATCACCAGTTTAAATTCTTCCTATCCTTAATTTTTTTTTCCTATAAATTCCTAAGTATATTTATTTCCGTTCTTCGCTTGAAATGTTCATTTAAGTTTTCCATCTCATCGTCAACAAGCATATGAAATTAATATTACTTTCATGTATAATGATTGGAAATTTTTTCAACATATTTTATTTAGTTTAACATAGATGCCTTTTTTCACTTTTATAAATTCGTCTCATTAGTAACATGATACTAAGTTGTTCATAATTTGCACATGGAGAAACACCCAGAATCAGAACCGGAACAATTATTGTTTCTAAATAGTCTAAATGCTGGCCTCAAACGGAAATCGAATCCATAATACGTCACATATGTCGCGACTTTTAACTTTTTATATTAGTAGATTCCTATCGTATTCGTATGTTTTGTATTTTGTAAACTTCTGATTATTTGGTTGCATATTCAGTTCTATAGATGGATTTTGATTTTCACGGAATTTGTTTCGCTGATGGCGCTAATATTTTGATTTGTCTAAGACGACGTGGATGAATGAAACTATATAATATATACCTAAACTCAAAGAAAATGCATGCTAACAACTTTATTCTCGTTTTGATTTAATTTCTCATGCATTAATTTTGTGTTTATCACTACCATATTAAAAAGCGACCAACACCTTATATAGGTATTTGACATTGTTAGTTTATATTTAATAGTTACATAATATAGATACTAAAATATTTTTAAAATCAAACAATTCATTATCCTCTTTAATACAAGGTGAGTAAATATTTTGAATTGTTTTGTGAAATAAATGGAAAACTGATGTTATATCTAGTTTCTCTGTTACTTTCTTAAAAGTATTATGATGAATCAGATCCAGTTGGCTTGTCTGCTATGTGCAAGTCAAGTAACAATAAAAATCAAGATGGCGGATAATATTCGCCATATTGTTGGGGCAGGGGAAGTATTTCAAATCACTGTGACCAAATAGGTTCCATTCCCGAATTTATATTAAGGCCTGCTGACGCGCACAGTTGAACTTAAAGAAACTCCAACTTAACCTTTAACTCATTTAAGGGTTGATGTGGCAAGAGGTACTTCAACAGCATTGAAGTACTTTAGGTAGATTTTAACGAAGATTCGAAACATTGTTTGTTTATATAATAAAATTAGTTTTGTAAAATATTTTCAATAAGAATTTAGGAGTTGATTCATTAGATTACATCTCGAATAAAACCTCGTACTAATTGCTTTGAACATTCAAATGAAATACCTACTTTGATTTCCGCGAATATCCTATTAGAAAAAGACATTTCCATAGGTTGTTTTATACTAATTTCCTCATTAATTAAATAAATTTATACTACTACTTTTCGTTCTTTAAGTAACGTAAGTAGATAAGTATATTTATATATCGATTCATTTAATGAGACATGCAAATTTGAAATGGATCAGGGAACGAATCTATTCAGCAATTCATTCCCCAAGTTCTAAATACGATTGAGGGATAAGCTGTGGCATTTAATGTGTTAAATCGATTTCAGTAAAGGGCTCTGGCTGCGACTGCGTAGTGTAGACCATTATTACGTTTCTTACCGACTTACGTGTGAACCTTGATAGGAAATAAGAAGTCATCGCCAAAGAAATTAAATATCTTACTAG